TGTATATATATCTTATGACCTATTCTATGTAGAACCTTGATATTTGGAATACAACTAGACACTTTGAATATGAAGTCACCTATGACAAAAAAATTGGGGTGGGCATGGCACATCCGGGTTGAATTACTAATTGTTTACATTTAGAGGCAGGGGCATAACTCGCATAGGATGCGTTTGTTCAAAAAGGGACTTTGCACACAATTACCTCAACTTTTTGGCCAGTTTGTGTTAACAGCTCAGTTGTTTCAGCCTTATAGTTCCAAAAAAGGAACGGGTTTTAACATTTGGATTTTTTCATTTTTCGATTTTGACCTTTGTTGACTTATATCTTTTGACCTCTATTATGTAGGAACTTGACATTTGGAACATAACGTAACATTTTGAATATTGATTAACTTATTCAAAAAAAATTGAGTTGGGCGTGGCACTTCCGGGTTTAATTACTCATTATTGACATTTTTGGCCAGGGACATAACTCGCAAAGTATACATTTGTTCAAAATGGAACTTTGCATACAATTACCTCATATTGTGAGCCACTTTGTCTTAGAATTTCGTTTGTTTCCGCTTCTTAGTTCAAAAAAAGGAACAGGTTTTGGAAATTGAAAATTTTCAATTTTTGACCTTGACCTTTGTTGAATTCGACCTTTGTAGGATCAAACGTCATTGGCATTGGCTATCTATTTGTACTTTCATATTTGCTGTCCTATGTCAACTTCCGGTTTTATAGTCGTGTGCAATTTGAAATTTTGATGACGTATATCTCTTGATCTTGACCTTTTTAGACTTTCTCTTTTACAAGATCAAAGGTCATTGACCTTGGCTATCTGCTGATACTTTCATTTGTGAGGTCTGACGTCTACTTCCGGTATTAGAATCTTCTAAAAAATGAAAATTTCTCAACTTTAGACTGTTTTTGCGATTGATCTAATTATCATGGAAGGATGATTTTTTCGGGGTCTTTTGCAATTTGCTACATTTGCAAAGTCCCACTCTGTGCCACGAGTGGCTCTAGTTTCTATTTGTTTTAAATGTTTTATTGTACATAATTTGTGCCTTACAGGATAAAAAATAAACTCTGTCCAAACACGTTACAATGTTATTTTTTTTTAAAACAAAGCTGTATTCACATGGTTTTCTAGTTTTTGTACGTGACATTTACAGCTTCTCTCGTAAGATTCTGACAAAATCTTGATGAAATCATTTGGCTCAGTCTTGGCAATGTTTTTACAAGAAAAATAACTGAGGTTTTTGAGGTTTCTTCAAGTCTATCCTCGGTCAATCTTTGTCACTGATTTTACAAAGATAACAACAAAGATTCTTGAGGATCCTGCCTCCTAGCTTTGACCGGAACTCTTAGAATGATGTTTTCAAAGATTTTTTTTCAAACTTTAATGACGGGGGCAACAGACCTTTGGGGTTGTTAGGGGCACCAAGCGGTCCTGTCGCTGCTCTACTAGCATCCCTGGTAAGTGTTTAAGACAAATTTATACAAAAATATTTTTTATTCAACAACAAAAACTATTATGAAATCATAACAACAAAGTCGAGCAAAGTTAGAGGACGATTCCAATCAAACACAGTCAACCTTATTTCTAGGTAGTACAAGTAGTAATCAACACCATATCATTCAACTGTGTATCTTCAGTTAGCCTTTATTCTACCTTGTAACAAAATAGACTGTCCCCTTTCTGTTTGGAATCGTCCACGCATGTGCATAACTAGCTTTGACCGATAATAAATATTAACACTGCTCAGATCTATAGAGTATTAAAAACAAGACATCACAGGATAGTTCTATACTGACCGGTTATAGAGTAGGGGCAAG